ATACATTTATCTCTCCCAGGGTTTTCGTTTCTCTGTCTTCTATAGTTCTCTCTCCTTCCTCCCTTCTCCCTTTCCTCCCTTCTCTTCTTCCTCCCTTTGATCCAGCTCCCAGGGCAGACTGCTCAACACCATGGGAATGATATTCAATCTAGGGATTTGACCCCTGCAGGCTTCAAACCATTTTATGCTCCCTTTCTTGGTGGGGGGGCTATAAGACCTCGAGAAATTCCTCCCCCTCAATCCCTTTTCCCACCCCTTAAGTTTCATCATGCCCAGCCCCAATCCCCAGTTCCTCTCCCACCTAAGTCTTTCAGGATGGTGACTTCAACTCACCCAATGAGTGCCTTGTCACCCACCTCACACCGCATCTCCGGCTTAAAACTGGGGAATGCACAAAGCCACCCCAGGATTGTGGAAATCCAGGTGCTTAATCTGTGTGAGGCCTCAAGAAAATCTCCTTTGTGATTTAGAATAAGCAATGACCCCAAGTGTGGTTTAGAAAGAATGGGCACTTCAAGTCCAAAGTTTTAATATGAAGCAAATCCACTGGGCAGCAAGCCTGTTCCTATTGCTTGGCTATCAGAGACAGGTGGTGTCTTCCTAAATCCATATACCATTATCAAAGAAGAAAACAGCTCCAGTAGAGCTAACAGGGATGTATCTGTGTGTCCCAGGAATGGGCTCATAGGGACAGATCTCCAAATGTATTCAGTCCAGGTGTTGGGGATCCCAGTTTGGTGTACAGACAGAAGTCTTTAAGTGGTGGCAAGAATGGGAATCCCATGCCTCCCAGAACCATGCCAGCTCCACAGCCCCTCCGCAGGTCTGCCTGGCACTCTGTCTGGGTCCTGCTCACTAACAGAAGTCCTGAAACAATTGAGAAGAGGTGACAGGTCAGCCTCTAAGTTATTCCTAATCATTTTTGTTATCTTAAGATAACATTATCTTAAGATAAATCCCAGTTTCCCATTTGATGGATGGCAACACTGAGGCAACTGGGTTAAGAGCTGACTGCTAGGACATTCCATAGAAACCAAGAAGCCAAAGACTTGAATTCACACTGTCCAAAGTTTGGGTCAGGGGTGCTAGCCAAGAGTAGCTTTAGTGGCCAAGGGGACTTGGGATAGATGAGTGAGTGGAAAGATCCAGAAAGGTCCTGAGAAGGGAAGGAAGTGTCTGGGGCTATTTCTGTGCCCTGTCCATGAAAGATAGATGCAGGAGGACTCACCTCTCAGAATCTGTGCTCTCTGAGAACTACTGGCTATTTGTGTTGGGTGTGAGTAGCAGGCTCAGGGCACATATGTCTAAGAGGGACAGGATGAATTATCCAAGTCATATCTGAAAATTGCTTAGGAATTTTTAACCATCACCAAATAAACTCTTCTCAAACTCAGCTGTGAACACAAGAGGTTGAAAAGAAAAAAAAAAAAAAAAAAAAAAACATGGAAAAGAATCAACCTTTTCCTATACTTCCATGTGACTGGACATCCAGTGTTATTTTTCTGTTGTGATTGTCTTTCAGATCTAAAAGAAATTCTCTGATGATCTTCTAATGATTTAGTGGAAATCCTTCTGAGCTCTACTACTGTCATGAATGGTGATGGCGTTGTTGTACAAGCTGGAATCCCATGTGTTCTTAGAGTTCTGGAAGTGTCATGGTGGCTTCCACATCCCAGGGCCCCTCTGGTGAGGACTAGACTCTGACAGGGCATAGGAAACCATCTGAAGATCAAGGTCACAGGAGACCATGAACGTCATAGAATTAAAGACCAAAGAAGTCAATCAGGCTGCCTGCTCCCTAGAAAAATGGAGCCCAGAAGGAGAGGTAAGTTGTCTGAGTTCCCCAGAGCATGGCTGCTGCTGGATGCCTGGCCTCCTGACCCCAACTCTGCAAGCCTTCCCCGTGGTGATTCAGGACTTAACCTGAAAGGTTGGGCACTTCTCAGTATCAAATGTCTGCAGTTCACTTCCCACAGGGAGCCATGGAATGCATTCTATTATTCTCATCCTTGACTCTGGCAGATCTTGAACTTCCTATAGTAGAACCTAGAGCCAGGAGTATGTAAAAATGTCCCAGGTCTGTCCATAGTGGCATCTCTCTCATGACTACATCTGTATTGGCTTTTCACCCTCCTAATCTCCCTACCTCCTGATTTCTGGAATTCTCTCCTGCATTAACCATTTGAATCTGGGTCCTTTCTTAAGGATCTGCTGACTCTAACCATGTCACTTAGGGAGTCTTAAAGAGATGAAATGATAATAGCTCTTCTCCTTGACAAGAAAGAGCTCAGCATAGTGTGAACTCAGTCACCCAACTGCAGAGGTCACTGTGCCTTCCAGTCAAACACCCACCTCCAGCTCTTCCTTGGGTGAAGGGCATAGCTGGGAGTGGTCCTCTGTGGTTAGCCCTGGCTCTCTTTCCCCAGGACATACCACCTATAGGACTCAAAACAAAAAAGCAACTTGTCCATTGTATTAAAAAAGCCTTCCTGCTTGGCTGTCTTTCTCCTTGTGTGGAGATAACTGAGAGCACATTAGTTAATCTGACAACAGAAGTTCAAAAATGAAACTCAACCTTGTGAGCAGGTTACTGTTAAATAAGCATGTTGGGATAGCTCCAGAAAGAGTGCAAAAGACAAATTCCTCATGAAAACGGCCAACATGAGGATGCACAAAAATTGGATATTTTTGCTAACAAAACAGATGTAGAGTTCTCCAACTTTGACCTTGGAAATGGGCATTATTTGCACAAAGAGCACAGTGGGTGCATGTAGGGACAACACTGCCAATGTGCCCTTCCATGTTTAGGAAGGCAATTTGATCACTGTGAAATTTGAGAAAATGTGACTATCCATAGGTATTAATCTGTCTCCAAATTTGGACTTGCCCCTTCAAGAGAAGGGTCTATGCTGTAAGGTTGAAGATTCAAAAGGGGATATTTGTGTTTGCCCCAAGTCTGACTCCAAACTTGTACGGCTTGTTATAATCCCATGTGAGGTTGGGTGGGAGTTTTAGGGGAGTGATAAACCAGCAGGAAACAGAATTGTCAGCCCCCATGCAGAGCTGTGAAATGAGGTTGACTAAGTGTTCCAGGGGCCTGGATAGACTCAGCTCCCGTGCAGGCACCCCAGGATGTTCCCAAGAACATCCAACTGGTGAGCAGGGAGCTGTTACCCGGGGGTGGGAATGAGGAGGAAAAGGAGGAGGAAATGAGCAGAATTTGGGAGGAACAGTGTATACAGGCATGATGAAGTGGGTGGGTGTTCCGAAATGAGGTAGGAGGAAGCTGAGGCTGGGTTCATAAAAGTGGGAGCACGAGAATCCACAAAGGTCTCTTCTAAGCTTGAGCAGTTACCACTGGGGAGCGACTCAGGAAACACCCCCTGCTTTAGAAGGAAATGCTACCCATCCTTCCAGTTTAGAGACCCTGTTAGGGGGACATGGCCCGGGAAGAAGGAAGAGAGAACAGCAGATGCCTAGATATGTGGCTCTAGGGAGCCTTCCTAGCTGTCAGCATCGAGGGTGGAAGATGAAGGGCTTTCCATGGCTCCGGCATCCCTTACTTCGCAATCCCTCATCTGCCTCCCCTTGGGCTGCAGCTGACCCCTTAGAGCCCCATCCTAGCCATAGTGACCAAACGAGGGTGTGATGATATCCATGGGGCTTCTGGATAATGTATGTAAATGACCGGCAAACCCGAGGACAATGTGCTCAGCCTATGAAGAGGCACTTCAAGGGAAGTCTCAGATGAATCACCCTCTGTTTCCTTGGGTTAGTCCCCAGGTGCCATAGAAATGAAGATAAGGTCCTCCTGGGTTCTACCTTTTGTGTGAGCTCAGACTGCACCCTGGTGAACTGGCATTGTTTAGATGTGGAGTGTGGATCCAGCACCTGGAGGGGAGGGCTGCTCTTTGCCTTTTAGGCATTTGGGGGTTGCCACTTACTCTATTCTAACCTGGTGTGACCCTCAGGGATCTGGTAACAGTAGGGGACACTGGGCTCTTGGAGGGCTGGAAAACTTCAAGGTCTGTGCTTCTCACTCGGGACTCTGTTCGCTCATGGTGTCACTTTCCATCTCTGAGTTAAGAGACAAAAGTGACACAAAACTGAGGTCTCTGAGGTCAGGATAATGAGTGGGTTGTGTGGAAGTGCTGCGGGGGAGGGAATGCTTTATCCAGCCGAGGCAACGCCTCTGTCCTGTCACCAAGGCCAAGGTGTTCTAGTGGACATTTCTGGAGTTCCATTCTCTTGTGGACACTTTATTTGGGGGTATGAGTAATATTCTTGGGGCTTCAGATTCTATACTGGACCCCTCCACCCCCATGGGACCAATTAAGACAGGGCACAGTGCTGTGTGCAGACTTGAGAAGTGTGCTGAACATACTCAAGTTTGGAAGCTTGAAATAGTGGGACCTGAAAGCTCAGTTCATGGGAACACAAAACCAGGTGGCACAAACACAAACCCTTTCCTTTCTGTGTCCTGCCTCATTCAGGGACAAAGTAGGTGAGGAACAGGCCAACAGCCTGTTCTGTAAACACAGGTAATGACCAAAACATCTCAGTAGAACAAAAATGGGCCTGGACTTTCAACATCACCCCTCACGGGATGGAAGAACAGGGGTGTGCTGGAGGAGGCTGGGTACAAACAGCCTTTTCCTCCGAGATTGGGTACAACGGCTTGCGTGCTCTGTGCCAACTCCCCACTATCCACTGGTCTTGAGAGCGGTCTCAGGGTTCAGATGCCTAAGCAACACAATGCAGAGCGATGGGCAGGTCATCTGACTCTCTGGCGCCCATCACAGTCATCCCACCCAAACCCAGAAGTCCCCTTCTTTTTTGCGTGTTTGTCAGTTGTTCCTCGTTGTGGCCCATCTGGAGATGGACGGAAAAGTGGAGGGGCCAGTTCCCTGAATGTCCTGCTCAGGTGCCCAATGGAGAGATGAATGTCAGGGGTAAGGGGGTGTTGTGGAATGAATTAACATAATGACTCAAAACTGCACTAATGTTTCACAGCTTTTTTTTTATTAGCAATACCAAGATAACTTATTGAAGCATTTTTAGTATTGTTTTACATTCCATTCATAAATGACCTAACTTGTAACTCAGCATACAGCACACTTAAAGATATAGTTTGACACTTATTCAGAAAGCTACAGTTGTGATAACTTACATGCCTTCATTACCAGGAACACCTTAATATATCTTCTAATTACTTCAACAATACTCTATCCAAAGCACACGATTACCCGGTACAAGTTTACACATTTTGCTTCAATCACCATTTTTTTAAGTTGTGAATGTCAAAGTGCTGTTCGCTGGGATTTTACTGTCATCTGTCCCTGGTTCATACGACGACCTGACACAATATTAAACTAGCAATATTTCTGCTTAAATACTATGGAGAAAGATAATTACTGCACTTTTCTGTATTCTTCTAAAGTGTTACAAAATACATGACAATCAGACACAAGCGATAAACGCCGACGAGACCATCATGGGGCCCAACTCTGTAAGCTCAGGTGAGCTGGTAGGGCATACCCCACCCCAGCCAGGTGTTTACATGTCCAGGAACCTGCTACCCACCAGCATTTGTCACTCAGGGTTTATGACCTGGAGGGAATTTTCTCTCCCATTCGCTGCCATTACTAAGCCTTTGCAATCCATTACTATTATGGAACATCTGGGGCAACACTTTCAGCCTCCCTGACTCTACACACACTGTAAGGTCGGTGTGCTGGGCTGCACACGCATACCTGTGCCGGTAGGAATGATTTATTCAACACACATACGTGTACACATTCTTCTGTTGACTTTGCACGGTTAACAAGCTGCAGAAAAACACCAAGGTGCACGAACAGACAAGGGGAAGTCCAGATAGACCGACTAGGACATGGGTGTCACTTACCTGAAAGAAAACGTGTAGATTTCATTAATCTAGAAACCATTGGGCTAGAGGCGTTTGAAAGCAGGGGTAGGGCCACAAGCTCCTAATTGTTTAATGGAATAATGGCAAGAAAGCAATATTTATAAAATTTGGTCTTTCCGGCTCTGGCGAAAGCAAGAATAGTCTACGTGATTAGAGCAAGCTGGCAATTAGGTGTAGAGGTGCCGCTGATCAGCACTAAGTAATAGGAGATAATTGCTACTTATCTGAAACCTGGGCTTTGCATACCACATCTGAAAATTAAAAAAAAAGAAGCAGCCTGATTCCTTCTGCAGCTGACATGTTGCCTGAGTCTAGATGGCTGTCATTTCCCACCATCACTACCCTTCGGCAAACTGTCTCTGGGGTCATCTGCTCAGACTGAAGATGGGGAAGACTGAGCTTGAGACAGAGTTTGGATTTTACTGGGGGCGGGTCTGTGACAGCATGCTCTTCCTTCTCTCATCTTAACTCATTGCCAAAGGGGGGGGGGAACCTATAGATGTTGAACCCAAAATCGTGGCTGCTCTCTCTTCCCTTTTGAGCCTGATCTTGGGTAGTAGGCTTCATGCAATCCAAAGAGAATATAGATACAGCAACTAAAATGAACCCTACCAGACTTTTCTCCTGCTTCGGAAGCAATGTTGATTCAGACAGTAGCTTTTGGAGCCAAAAATATGCAGCAAAAGGCAAGGAACATAAACAAGGCTAAATGTCACCAGTGTTTGCCGATTCACAGACACTATCCATTTGTTTGTTCTGAAATGACGAGTGGACCATTTGGCAAACACAATGGCATTCACAGAACAGTTCTGTCATCCTGCCGTGCAAACAACATCACACCAGTGCTACCCTATTTAATTTAAGAAGAGGGAAAGGGAGGAAAAGATTGCCGGAAGATTTGGGAAGGGGCCGTCTGTCATCTAGAAGAGCCCTCTCTGTGTCAAAAATGGCGCTCAGGGCACAGGTACAGGTGAGGACGCAGGACGGCCTGCTGGGGAGTGCCGACGTCAACAGAAGATCCTATGGGATATCTGTCCCCTATATTTCATCCCACCAGTCAGGGAGAGAATCTGTACATCTAGGCCACAGTGAGATAGCCAGAGGGGCCAAGCAAGCAAAATGAAGTGGTGATTTGCATGGACTTACAAGCTCTGCCCTTGGACTTCACAGCAGGTCACACTGTGCCTGAGAGTGGGTTGGCCCACAGAGGTCACTGTTCATCTGTCAGTGGTCAAATTGGGCACGGTCAGTGAGTGGGTATGCAGTGCCTTATCCAACCTCTGAAGACAGTCCATGTGTGATTGACTCACAGAGAAGGTTGGGGGGATGATTAAGCCTTTGGCTTGCAGTAAAGCGACGCAGACAGGAGCAGGATGGAGACAGGAGCAGAGAACTCCCGTTCTCTCCCCTCCCTGGCTACTTGATCACTCTGGGGTTAGCTGGACTTTGTCAGGCCTCCCATGCCCTTCACCGCCTGTGACTTTGTAGTTCTCCTCTCATCAGAACCTACCGGATTCAGGACCACAGCTTGCACTTCTCCACAACATAACCAACGGCCACAGGGAGTGCATGACAGCCCTCGACCAGGTGGCCACATGTTCGGTGTCCACGGTGCTTCACAAACACCAGCTGTGGCTACCTTGGAAGGTTCTACCTGGCCACAGACTGTAGCCACTTTCTGACAAAAGGCACAGAGGACGGGACTTATTTCTTACCCCTAAGTGCTCACTTGATAACAGGGACAGGGCTGAGTAGAAACTGAAATAGCGTAGCCTAAAGTAGATGACATCACCAAATTCCCAGGTTCATCTTCCTAGCTAACTTTCCCCTGCATGGAGAAACAGCTACTGACTGGGGCATGGGAGACAGACAAGAGGAGGTCCAATGTGCCTCTAGCACACTGATGGGAAGCCAGGCTGATGTAGCTGAGTGCTAAAGGGGATAACAGCAACCAAGATGTTCGGACCTGCCGTTTCTTTGCAGCACCTGCCAGTGGACACTCACCTGTACTGGGAGTCTATCCAAGCTCTTAGATGGCAGTCATTTTATTTCATCTCTGTACTTCTGTCTGTGAAGGACCAGGCTTTGATAAAACCAAGCCATGACTCTCTTTTCTATTTTGCCTGTGGTGGCTATGAGGGGGTAGCCATGGGATGGGGTGTCAGGGGTACCTTTCTGGAAATCACTTCACACACACACACACACACACACACACACACATACACACACACACACACGAGGTCCTCTGGAAGGTCTCTTGGACATTAGTGGCAACAGATGGAGCCCAGTAGCTGCTGGTGGGAGTACTCCTGCATCCCTCACTGTCCATTAGAACAACACAGGCTTTTTTTACATCTCTTTCCCCGAGAATGACACGGGAGGAATACATTCCTTTTTACAACAGAAGCTACAAACTCTGACCTAAGGGCCTATCCCAGACTGTCCCTTGCTTTAATTCATTAAGTTTTATTATAATCTAGCCACACTGGCTATAGCTTCTTTGTTGTTACCCAGCAGAGCAGAGTCTAGGTGAGAGGTGCCCATGGCTTAGAAGCCTAGAATATTTACCCTCTGGTCCTTAAGAAAACAGATGTTGACCTCTGCTTTAGGCTCTGTAGGGGAGAAAACAGTGGATGTTTCCAGACTGTCTGTGCAGAGAAATCACAGGACAAAAGTCACATTTTTTTACTTTTTTTTTTTTTTTTTTTTTTTTTTTTTTACGATTGTCAAGTAGGGATTTCTCTTTTCTTCAGTGACCAGAAATGCTAGGACTTCAAGAAAGCTTCTCCTGGTTCATCTCAGCACATATTTCAGAATACAAAGTGAAAAGGTTTTGATGGCTCTATCTTGGGTTTTTGTTGTTTTGGGGGGAGGTAGGTCCCCATACTCTCATCCTTCCAAAGCTCAGAGGGTTTTATTCCAAGATTTGCATCAAGCCAATTTCCCAATAAACTGAGAATTACAAAATAGGAATAGGGAAGCTATTCTTGTTAGTGGTCTTATTTACTCACTGGCTTCCTTCGACCCCTGTGGGGATGGCCACTGCACCCAGGGTCTCAGCACCACAATCACCATGATGGTGGATCCTCCACACCTGGCTGGGCTTCTCTGAGTGGTAGCAGTGCCAGGACACAGCTAACGGTAAAGGGACTATGCCTTCATATGTGTTAACCTGATGTGAATTTTATGTCATCAATCCTTCCTCTGAGGACTCGCCAATGGACAGAGAAAACGCTATTTATGAAAGCCAAGACAGCACCTCAAGACAGTCCTTTCTGCCTGTCTCAGTTTCAAAAGGTAAGAAAGACGGGGTCCAGTTGCTTCTCACATGCACAAGTCTGGAGGTGAGTGGTTCTCAGCCTTTCCATGCAGCAGTCTCCAGGTGCTCTATAGACCAACTGCCTGTGTCCTGTCTCTGTGCACACCAAAAGCTTGTGCCTCCCATGTGCTCCTGGATCTCTAAGCTATTCACCAGCAACATTTCCACCAGAGACCCTCAGACTGGACGAAGAGCCTGTCTGTCCTGCCTGTCAGTGGATGGATTGGAACATGATCTGGTCTGCTCTTGCCCTCTTATTTAAATGTGGAGCCTGTCTCAGTGCAAAACCAAAGTCAGACCCATTCCAGCAAGACCAAGGGCATACCTGGGTTCTCCAACAGAACTGCTTTGCCCTTGTAGATTATGTTCTACAGCACAATAAAGGAATGGGGCCATAGCTGAGCCCTAGATGTCACCATAGGAGGCTCAAGTTTTGGCTAAAGTAGGATGTCGTATAACAAGATCAGACCAGTGGGACTTGACCCCGTCTAAGTGATTCCAAAACGATCCCATGTCTTCCACATGTCCCTGACACACGGACATGTCAGCTTTTAAACAAAGCATCTTTTGGAAGTTCACATTCACCCTTGACATGGGCTGTGCTACAGGACTCCCACTACCCAAGAGGAACAACCTCTCCATCAGCTCACTCTGCTGCACCCAAGTCAGAATGCATTAACTATGAATGGCAGGGTACACTGGCCAGGACTCCAGGTCTACAACATCTAGGAGTTTAGGAGCAAAGTTCTAAATGTTAGGAAGCAGAGTGCAGTAATTAAGGAAGCATCTGGAAGTATCACCTTCAACATACTATCAAACATACATTCAGGGAAGAAGACAGTCTCCAACTCCTTATCAGATTCAAGAGGTACTGCCGAGTTCTGTGGGGGTCTGCATAATGCAGACAAGACACCCCAGAACAGAGTTCTTCCTTGTACAGAAGAGCATTAGTTATTTCCACAAGCCAGATTCTGGGGGTATCGAGGTGGGAATCTGGGCTACTAACCAGACAAAATCAGAGATGGGAAATCTAGGAATAAGATATTGATTCGACAAAGCCCAGTTTCATGAGGAAGATCAGCGGTTGACCTGATGGACCTGTTGGCAAAGTTATGTCTACTTTAAGTGGGGCAGAGAGGAAATAAATGTTAGGAATGGCCTGTGCCTTGTGCCTTGCAGCATGAAGCTGGTGGAAGTCTGAAGCCTACGACTCTCAGTCTGCTTCATGCAATGCTACAAAGATAGGAAACTAAAATAAGAGCGGGAAAAGAGAATTGGGGTCCTCTGAGATATTAACTCTTCCTCAGGTTGACTATACCTGGTCTCTCTGGGTCCTGAGACACTACAGTAGCCAACAAGGATTCGAGAAGGTGGCAATTAATTGTGCTGGACCTGATGTCCAGGTGGGAGAACCAAAGCATACACCGTGGAGGTGCTCCCTGAGTGGTGTGAGTTGCTATCAGCATCTACAGAGGGAGTGAGACTTCCTACCAGCACTGCGGAGACTCAGGACACCCTGCTGGTCTCCCCCCTCCGCCCCCCATGCTGCCCCCTCCCCCCTAGCCTGGTGCAAAAGGATGCCCCCAACAAGCTTCCTCAATGCAGACAGCCTTTCTTCCACACTGATAGGACGATGGGAAAATTAATGGTGGTAATATGAGCTCATTTCAATAATAATGAGCTTATGCACATGCCAGGTTTTGATCTTTTCTGATGCATGGATTCCTGGCAGGAACTATGGTCCTATGAAGGTAGTTGAAAGAACTGAAAATAGACTTTAAAAAAATTCCTAAACAATAATGATAATAATAAAAATCCCAGTCCAATCAAACTTAAAACAACGAAAGAAAAAGACTTAAATGTTGCTTCCCCCCGCCCAGAAAGGAGGGGGGATTGGGCAGACATAAAACCTTCTCCTTTCCTTTTAAATATTGTTTTTAACAGCTTCAAGAGTAATGAATCGCACATGGCTAAAAATAGATCTGGGGTACTGGTTAATGGGGCCTTGTGAATCACCCAGTGTAAGGAACTGTCAATACTTTTTGAGTTGTCAGAAATCCATTTAGTGATTTTTGACAATTCGAAAAAATATTTCTGACTGCTTGATCCAGTTCTTAGTGAATTAGAGGAGAGAAAAAACAAAAAGAAGTCTATCGATTTAAATGATAAAAGAGTCTAGCTTTATGATTTCCTCTCTGCGCTGAGGGAGGCAGGATGCTGAGGTTCAGAAAGGCTCCCGTGTGCCCCGTCCTTCCCTCCCTCCCTCTTTTTAGTTCCTTCCACAGATGAAGGAACATCTCAGCAATCCATTCATAAATTAGATGGCAAGTCCCATGCTGCCTGTCTCTAGTGGGGATTTGGGAGCTGATTTCAAAGGGAACAATACACTGAGCTGTTCTTTGGAGACATACGAACACCTGGGTGCCAAGGAAATGACACTGATCCTCCCTGCCCACCCCGACATCCATTTGATCCGACTCAGGTTTGGGATTATGCTTTAAAATCTGGAATTTCTAAGGGCTAACAATGTTCTTTTAAGGAGGCAAGGAAGTGCCGGTTTACAAGATCAGATGGGCATTAAATTTAAGACACATTAGGGGTCACCACACTGCTCATCAGAGACTTTACAATGTACATTTCTTGTTAGAATGACAGACAGATAAGTAAACAGACAGACACAGACAGAAGGCAACAGCGGAAGGCTAACGTCATGGTAACTGCCATTTGCTAGGTCACAGGTGAGTCAAGAACACCCTGAAGCCAGTCTCCCCATCTAGAGGGAGGACCTCTCTCTATCTCTAGTTAGTGTGATATGATTTTAGCATCCTCTAAGTGAATAAAAGGAGTTGAAAGGAAGCGAATCTGGCTTGGCAAAGCAGTAAAGAATTCTCATCTTTTTGCAAGAGTTGGATACTGAAAAGTTTGCAAGTTACCATGTCTTTTTGTTTTTGTTTTCAAAGTGAATTTGCTTCCCTTCCGAAACTTAGGGATCAAAAATGGGAGGAGTTTTGCTTTGAGATACCGTCCCCTTTCCATGCCTTCTGTGTAGGCATTACACTACAAATTGGACCCCAAAAGTATGACTTTCAAAACTTCTGAGTGAAACTGACTTTTATGATTGTCTACACTGTGTATACAGCACTGGCTTTTTCTTTTTAAGGTTCAGTTTAAAATTTGCTAATGGGTATGTCTACCCCGATTTTTTTTTCTTTTAATGCACAATTCAGCAGTGATGTTTGGGGAGATGAACTAAAGGAAGAGGATTCTAAAACTTACCACACAAGTCTGGCCTCTTGATACATCCAGAATTTGCTGTGCTGCTTGCAAGCCCGTTAAAGGCTGCTAAGCCATCAGCGCTGTAGGCCCTGAGGACCGACAGCATGTTCATAGGTTTCTCCAGGCCCTGGGGACCCCGCTCTGGCTTTGGCAGCCCCACTGAGGGGTCCTGGGCAGGAAGAAGGCCTGGGCTGTGCCACTGCTTCTCTGACGCCTGGGCTAAAGGTGAGACCAGTCCCTGGATGGGCTGGGGAGCACTTGGGGACAGCAGACCATCCCCGCCATCGCTGCTGCCGTCCTTGCTGAGGGCAGACAGTGGCTTGTTCATCATTTCGGGCTCTGTGTCGATCTCCTCATCCTCGTTGTTTTCTCCCTTGGAGGAATCCATGTCCTCGGAGGAGGCAACATCTGAGAGGTCATCAGTAGTGTTTTTATTAGTGGCTTCTGGGATCAGGATAGGGGCGTCATCTTCAAGGTGGGATTTCCCATCGGTATCCTTGTTGGGGCAGGAACTGGGGGCCCCTGAGCCAACCATGCTGGGGTAGACGCCAAACTGTTTGTAGAAATCAGATGGGAAGGTACAAAAGGCAGGGTCCACGTGGCTGGACCACGGGCCACTCTTCTGGTCCCCATGAGTCTCTTTGGCCTGTCCTTGGGCCATCTTCTCAGGAGCAGAGTCTAGAGGACCGACAGTGCTGGAAAGGGCCATCTCTTTGTTTGATTGTATGGAGGGCAACAGAGCCATCTTGCTGGCCTCCCGCACCTGCTCTTTGCAGTTGACCGTCACCCCGGTGGGGTGATCTTTGCGTTTCGCTTTGCCCAGGTGGTTGGCCTGGAGGTGAAGGGCCATGAGCTCCATGGATGACGTAGTGAAAGCACAAAACAAGCAGCCGTGCCACGCGATACTGTCTTGCATGGTCACGGAGGAGCCGGGGAGGGAGGCAGCATCTGGCCTCACAGACAAGTCCAGAGGTTCATACTGAGATTTCTCAGACTTCCTCTGGGAGGGCTTCCCGCTGGCTTTCTCCTCCCCACCATCCACCGCGTGAGTTTTCATGGAATGTGGGTCGGATGGGGCTTTATCCTTTGCATCCTTCTTCTTCAGGGAGCTGAGGACAAAGTTGTCCATGAACGCTTGCAAGGACCCTTGAAAACTCACACCATTGCTCACGATACTCTGATAAGCTCTTCCAATCTCTGAGAAGTGGGAGCTTTTGGAAGGAAGGTCGGAGCCTTTCAGAGCATCGGAAGGAGGCTCTGAGGACATACCAGTGGCCTGCCCTGAGTGGTCTCCAGAGGACAACATGCCCGATGTCCACTGCTGAGAGGCAGGCCCACCTCGGAAGTCGATTCCAGGGAGACCCTTAAAAGCCCCCCGCAGGATGTCCGGCCTGATAAACAAAGACGCTTTGCTTGAAGTCTCATCTCTGTGCTCTTGATTTGGGGGCTGTCCTGACAGAGGTCCAGCTCCATTCTGTCGTTCACGATGGTGTCGTTCTAGGTGGTACTTGAGGGACGCTGACTGGGTACCAGCATAGTCACAATGGGGACACTTGTAGGGTTTCTCACCTGCAAGACAGTGGTATAAGAAAAAAACAAAGTGTTTATCTCATTTTGGAGTGCAGAACGAGGCTAGAAGGATCAACATTTGTTCTTTGAAACAAAGCAGCTCAAACTAATAATTAGTTGGAGAACAACTGTTTTTTAATAGAAGAATAATTCGTACTCTTAAGCTTTTTTAATGATTTTGTACCATTGGGGACTATTCAGGAATGACATACTATCTACACACAATTAGCTATCTTTTTCTTTATCTAACATGTGAAAACGGCTGTAGATTTAAAAGCTATGATTATGAAAATTAAGCATAATAATTTCAACCACAGTGATCATTAAAAGTAGAAGTTTAAAAAGACAAAGTATGTAACAAATGGGTGGTTGCAATATTTTGTGTATACAATAGCTCTAAAATTTGTTTAAATTATACACATGGAAACCATTTTTAAACCTAAAAATTCTATGGCACTGTTACGCAAGACTGAAATGAATGATTTAAGTCTTGCTCCGCAGTAAATCATGGATATAATTAGCAAATGGCATTCTGCACAGGCAATTCATCATTATTTGGAGGGCACCATTCCAGACGGGCTCTGATATCTGCAGACCTACTGCATTGTTTCTAAATAAAGAACTATAAATACCGATTCTATAAAATATTAATATCATTACAGTGCACTGTGATTGCAGCATGTAAAGACATATAGTTAAGATAAAAGGCAGTCGATAAAACTTAAAAGAAAATGAATAATAAAAAGGCACAAAGTATATTTAGTTTCTGTATTTGAAATTAACATTATCTACTGGTCTTTGTCATGCCCTAAATTTGTACTAATGGCACCCCTAACACCAAGGTAGTAAGCGGCGTAATTTACCTGTAACGAGCGCTTTATAGGGAACAAAAATAGCTTTAAAGTGTGTTCCAAAACATATAAGATTATTTTCATGAAATGAATATTTATTTAAATCCAACACCCAACTTATATTGTCCTTTGTATGATGGGGAGAGATACCTTTACAGACCACTTACATCTGCTGGCATGTGGGACAGAGGAGGAGAAGATAAACAAGTGTGGGTTTAAATACATTCCAAGAATTTGTTAGCAATTCTGAGTCTTTTCTAGATTCTACAACCAAAAAGCCCTGGGGAAGAAGTGGGGTCTGTGATGACATCTTTTAGCTTGTTCACAACAGTACCCTGTCAATATCCACAATTATTTCTCCCAGGAAGCTCAACTAACCGCCCCCTGGCCCCACCACCTTGCCTTGTATTCTATTGTCAAACAGATGCATCTAGAAAGCCAGGCAAATCCAGGTGAGTATGTGTTCTGTAGATCTTTTATTGCAACTTGTCTTAGGGATGCCAAGCAGAGACTCCCCATTCTCAAAGCAGAGGGCATTTGGGGCCAGAGTCTGAAATGGGAACACCATCATCCCATGCTCTGAGCAGCAAAGAACACCATCAATGGTGGCGAGCCAGACCTAAGGGTCACTCCAGTGGCCATATCAAAACGAGGGCCACGAGCTCCTCATTCATGACTACAAGCAACTGAGGTGTCCCCTGGACACTTCTGAGAAAGTACCTTTAGGTCTAGGAAGAGATCAACTGAGAATCCACTGCTCTGCACAGCCGCCTTGGGTGCCTCAAAGCTGTGGATCTGAGGAGGAAGACTATTTGCAAAGACCATTTCACTGCTTTGAGATTGGGACAGACTTGAGCCACTGCTGTTTAGACAAACTGTTGTGGGCCAGGGAAACATTAGTAGGATGGAAGCACTTCTGGGCAGCTGATGCCCCAGTGGACCCACTTTACCTGGAAGCCTGGTGGCCAAATGGAGTAGAGTCAGTCCCTAGATCTTAGCGGGTAGGCTTGAGACTCCTGTCAGGTCAGTCAGACCAGAAACTCAGGATTCTCACGTACAGGTCTGTGCAAAGTTCATACGAGAGCCCAGCAAGTAGAGATCCATAGAGCTGAGGTCAGAGGGTACCAGGTAGGCTCAGTCTGCCCTTCAAAAATGTACCTGGCAATAATTAAGCATATCTGGAAAAGGGTCTACATAAAAAGCACGAGGCTTTCATTAGCAGAAGCTAAGCAAAGAATGCAACCTTGACCCAGTCTGAGGTGGGCAGCCCTGGACCACAGAGATGCACAGAGAATGTGTGTACATACTTCTCAGGGCCACATGTTCGTACTGAACATTGAAGTGTTAGTTCTTAGACCATGCTGTGCAAGAAACCCAGCGGGGCATCCGTGAGGACATGAGTTTGGATCCCAAGGTCTTGGATGGGGACAGGAAGGTGGTATTTGTTTAAAGTGTCACTTGCTTGTAGTTTGGGTGCATATGGTTAACTGTAAAGACTGATCTCTGCAAAAGCCAATATGAAATTGACTGTGGAGCTTTATATTGTGCAGATATCTGGCTCCATCTCTCCAAATTCTTAACTAACCAGCCCAAAGGTTTCAAAGGGTCTTTGGCTATTTCCAAACTCCTTAGGTGCCCCTCTGTGCAGCTTGTGTGTGGACCACTCTAGAACTTCCCTGGGTGCAGTGGTATAGCTTTTCAGGGAAAACAAACTAGGCCCCATGAGGTTTTTGCAGAGTGTGGAGTGGGGACTAGACACAGGTGACATTTTCTTCCTCAACAAGTAATGTAAGATTTTAGAGAATATGTTCCCTGAATCCTCATCTTAATTCTCAATCACATCCAGAGCTACACTGTCTCTTGAAAGGGCCAGAGACCCATGCATATGCACACACATATCCAGCCATGTGCAGGTATACTCATATGTTTTGAATGAGTTAATCAGTGCCTAAGTGAACTCCCTTGCTGGCCGTGAGAACAGAGCAAAGAAGCAAAGCCAGGGCCCTTCCCTCCCCTGACAGTCTTTGGGAGGACAACCTACTCTCACAAACACACAGCCAGGGCAGCATCTCTTCATTCAAGACACCTGCTCTTTTCATTTCAGAAGAGACCTTGGCTTGCCCTGTTCCATGGAGAGAAACACCACTGTTGAGAAACCAGAAAGGTCCACTTAGCACTGGTCTCCTTGGGCTCAGGCTTTGGTGAATGAGGAGTTGCCTCATAGATTTTCAAGGGTTGTTTTGTCTATACAAGACATCCAATGACTCCAGAAAGTTATCCACCCACAAGACATCCAATGACTCCAGAAAGTTATCCACCCACGCGCGCACGCACACGTGCACACCCGCACGCACACACGCACACACACACAGAGTTTTATAGCTCTATATCCTGCCCGACTCCTAGAGGGCTTTCCTTGGGTGATCACTTCCTGTCACCTCTTCTCTAGATAAATGTTCTAGAGTGGCATCCCATGGGGTGTCACTTAAAGGAAAAACAGTCCTCAATTTAAGCCTCTATAATTTCTAAGTGAGGTGAATAACCATAACCCTCTACTGTATAACTTTTCCCTCCCTTTCCTTGGTTTCCTCTCCAGCGAGGGGCACAGGGAAGCAGACTAAGGCTAACCCCTGTGGGGTGCTGTTCTGGCTGGGCAGACACAGGAGCTGGCAGTTGTGGGGTGGGCTTGAGAACCTCCAGCAGCCTCGGGCTTTATGTTCCACTGGAAACATCCCAGCTGTTTCCCAAGTATTCTTTCCCCCAAAGGACACATTTCAGAGTGCTCGGAAGGCAAACTTTGTACAACACTGGCCTGGATGGTACTGGGGTAAGAACTGAGAAGAGATCAGCAAGTTTAGCAGCTTAGAGTTATGGTCCAGGTCCCTCCTCCGCTTGGCTGGCACACAAATGCTGAGTCCACCTATGCTGAGCTGCCTCACAATCAAAGCCGCTGCATCTAGACACATTCTCCAACCCCAGCACTCTGGAACGACCCTGACAAGTCCCAGGCTGTAGAAATGTCAGGGATTCTGCATGAAGTCAGGGAATGGGTCTGCCCAGCTTCTCCCAACTGAAGTCTGACTCTTGGACAGGATGGCCCACGCAGCTGGCACAGGTAACCTCAGACCCTGCCGGCAGCTCTGTCTAGTTGAGTGATTGGTCACTTAAGCCACAATTGAGTCTAACTCTCCTAGGGGAATCCCTCAGTGTGCTCCGGATTTTGCAGGAGGTCATGAGTGCCCTGGTCACCTCCGTAATGGCTGGGATTCACAGTCTTTTCTTGCTCTTGTAGTGACCACACACTCCTGTGCCTTCTGAATTGGTAAGTCAAAGGGGCACAGAGAACAGAGAGGTGGGGATGAAGGCGTCTCATGGAGAACAACTGCCACTCCATTTTAACCATCTGAGGGGACTCAAATCTCTGGTTTTCTTAGAAAAATCTATGCAGATACCCACAAGTCTAGCTCCATTTATAAACTGTGATCTATTTCAGATCTTTAAACACTGAGAGGGCCATACCACCCTGAGTTGGAGACTGGGTCTGGAATGTGAGTAGGAAACGTGTACCTAGTACAAAGATATCCAAGCTGTCCACCCACAGGAGGAATCAGGGGAAAATGTTAATTCTTGCTTAGGGAACCTTCTTACAGAACAGCGAAAGAAGAGGATATAAACTCATACAATGTATTTCTAGAAAAGAGAGTTTGGCTGGAAAAGACATTAATATGCTTTTAAAAAATGAATCAGTTCATCATTGTGGCGAAATGATTGGAACCATCTTACAGCTAAACCAACCTCTCACCAACATATGGCATGAGCTACATACTCAACTTTAGAACAGTACTGATGAGCTCTCCAGTCATCGCACCATCATTTTTCAGAAATATATGACCAGATGGTTTAATCAGTTGTTTGTGATGATTTTGATATTGTTACATATATTTTTTAATTTTGTGGGGGTTTTGTTTTTTTTTTGTTGTTTTGATACAGGGTCTCCCAGTGTACCCTGGGCTGGCCTTGAACCCACCACCCTCCTGCCTCAGCCTCCTGAGTGTTGGACTATCAGGTGTGTAGCACCATACCCAGAATGACCCTGTCCTTATGTCTTTTATTATTCTGAAACTTTGCACTTGAGAGTCCAAAGGAGCC